TAACCTCCTGCAGCAGCAGTATATATGCCGTTGTTCTGTGGCCCGTGGATAAAGAAATGCCCCCTATAAATAGGAAGGGGTCACTAATACACGGCAAGATTTCCAATGTATTTGATAAAGCGTTGGCACATTTCATTTCAAAATGAATTAAAAAGTAGGCCAGATCTGCAGTAAAAAAGGCGGTATATAAATAAAGATTACTAATAAAGATTACTACAAATAAATAAATACATACATCGATATGACGGACATATCACTGGAATGTTGTATTTTTATTCAACTTCACCAAAGAGGACAACCCCGGCGTGTGAACATGTCGGCACTGAATGCGTACGAGTGCTCCTGAGGACTCGTAGGATTTGTACTTGCCCAAGAGAAATTCTGGTTACGAGAAATATTCGTGAATGCCACTTTCTTCGTAAAAACCGCGTAAGTAGGATTTACGTACAAATCTGTTCCTAAGAACCGTTCGTGAATGAGGCCCAATGTTTATTTATATAGCGCAGTTTACAGACCAAGGTCACCCAAAGCGCTTTACAATGTTCAGAGTTCAGATATTGTTCCAATCATTCCACACACGGTGATGACTGAAGCGAGTCGCCGAACACACTGGCGCATCAGCCCCCAATCAACACCATCCATTCACTCTCTCATTTACATTCATACCTATTGTGCATGTTTTTAGTGGCCTGTTTTAGTGGCCTGTGAGCGAGTTGGGAGGCGGTGCTAAACATTCAAACTGAAGAAAAACCTTTCAGAAATGGGTATAGCTTCTTCAACTCATTCACTGCCAGCCATATATAGCATCCCTCATACTGCCAGAGATTTTGGATATTTTTAGTGTTTTTCCAAACCTCATATAAACGTGAACCCTTGGTTGACACAAGTATGAAACATAACAAATGAAAGCTCTGTCCCCTTTTAGTTTTTTAGCAATTGAGAGTACAACATAGGTAACTTTCACACAAAATGCCGTTTCCTGACCAAAATATGGAGAAAACAGCCTTTTTGTGAAACACATTTTCAAGCAGAAGGGTTTTATTTTTTTCCCTTTACTGATCTTTTATAATGTATGACAGTTTCTTATTATGACACAAAACAAAAACAATACTTAGAATTGTATTTTATTGTATAATTATTAGAGCTGTCAAAATTATTGCGTTAATAAATTTTGTTCATTAATTGCGTTAAAAAAATTTACGCTTTTAACGCCCATGCATCCAATAATAACACTCAAAATGTCGCGGACACATGCATGATGGCAACAGAACAGGTAGGTCCTCTGGGAATTCAAGTTAAAAAAGAATAGGCGTGTGACCGCGGCGCACTTGCTGTTGTTTGCTATGAACTGAACGGGAGTTTGCATCCTCCATGGACACGGCAAACGGCGCCACTGTAACGTGAAAGACCATCCATACACACACAGAACTATTCTCTGCTTGTTGTGACCGTGTCTTTGCGTAACCTATGCGTAATACAACTATCAAGCTGAACTATGGAGCTAGGAAGTGTCAAAACTACAGTCGCTAAATTAAAGCTGGTTTACCTAGTTTTTCCATAGCCTTTATGAGACAGAGAAAAACAAGTAAGAGGAGGCTTTAGCTGAAGCGGAATATGTCGAGCTGAAAAAATACTGTCTACTACAGAAAGATAGAATGTTAATGGTATTTTATATGAATTTATTGTTATAATAAACAAATAAGGTACATACGTACACTATGTTGTCATTTATCTTTCCATTCAAACAACCATTTACAGAAAAATAAGGCATCATTTCGCCGATAGTTCAAAATGCAATTAATTACAATTATTTTTTAAGCTGTAATTAACTTGATTAAAAATGTTAATCGTTTGACAGCCCCAATAATTATTTTCAAATTAAACGTGTACACACAATAAAATATTCAACTTGTATACAATAAAAACACTCCAAAGCGTTTACAGGTCTGAAATGTTGACACAGGATGCAAAAGAGCCTTGACGAGCCATAGAAAGAAAAAAAAGCAAAAAAAGCAATTGGATTGCAACGTTCGGATGTAGATTGACGTTGATAGACGTCCATGGCAGTGGATGAGTTAAGAAAAAAGCTGTTTCCATTACATATATAGCATGTTTTAGCTTTGTAAAATGTCTTATTTAAGAATGGAGAAGAGGGAGTTTATTAGTGCCTCCACTAGTCGGGGGAGAAGGTCTTTGGCTCACCCCCACTACTTTCAGGCTCAAAGGCCAATGCGCTACCAACTGAGCCACTGTCGCCCACCATTGTTGTCAGTTATGGCAAAAAGGAGGGTATACTTTTTGCATCCATACCTAAAGTTACCAATCCAATACCAAGATTACCAATACCTCACTCAAGAGTGCAGGAAATTGTGGCACTGCCTACAAGACCATGGAACACACAGAACACAGCGTAATTTGCAGTGCACACATGATCAACAAGCGGCACAACTGATCTTGGTATATAGAAAATAACTACAGAAATTGTTAAATCCTTACAGTCAAAATATGCCACTGGAGCTGACCCCCCTGACTCTATTGTCTTTTTAATGAAGAGACACAGCAAATCAAAAAGGTGGGCCCAAATATTGCGAATGCCCATGTGTGAAAATTCCTGTGACGTCATGTGAAAGATAATGGAAGATGACGCTTCAAACTCAATTAATACAGCCATTTTGTGGACTATTGCATTGTTTTACAAAGAGATAAATGCAGGAGGCGAAGATTGCTATTGCATCTAACATTATACAGTGCCTTACGAAAGTATTCGGCCCCCTTGAACCTTAAAAACATTTCGCCCCATTTCAGGCTTCAAACATAAAGATATAAAACATAATTTTTTTTTCAAGAATCAACAACAAGTGGGACACAATCGTGAAGTGGAACGAAATTTATTGGATAATTTAAACTTTTTTAACAAATAAAAAACTGAAAAGTGGGGCGTGCAATATTATTCGGCCCCCTTGCGCTAATACTTTGTAGCGCCACCTTTTGCTGCAATTACAGCTGCAAGTCGCTTGGGGTATGTCTATCAGTTTTGCACATCGAGAGACTGGAATTCTTGCCCATTCTTCCTTGCAAAACAGCTCGAGCTCAGTGAGGTTGGATGGAGAGCGTTTGTGAACAGCAGTCTTCAGCTCTTTCCACAGATTCTCGATTGGATTCAGGTCTGGACTTTGACTTGGCCATTCTAACACCTGGATACGTCTATTTGTGAACCATTCCATTGTAGATTTGGCTTTATGTTTTGGATCATTGTCCTGTTGGAAGATAAATCTCTGTCCCAGTCTGAGGTCATTTGCAGACTCCAACAGGTTTTCTTCCAGAATGGTCCTGTATTTGGCTCCATCCATCTTCCCATCAGTTTTAGCCATCTTCCCTGTCCCTGCTGAAGAAAAGCAGGCCCAAACCATGATGCTGCCACCACCATGTTTGACAGTGGGGATGGTGTGTTTAGGGTGATGAGCTGTGTTGATTTTACGCCAAACATATCGTTTTGCATTGTGGCCAAAAAGTTAGATTTTGGTTTCATCTGACCAGAGCACCTTCTTCCACATGTTTGGTGTGTCTCGCAGGTGGCTCGTGGCAAACTTTAAACAAGACTTTTTATGGATATCTTTGAGAAATGGCTTTCTTCTTGCCACTCTTCCATAAAGGCCAGATTTGTGCAGTGCACGACTGATTGTTGTCCTATGGACAGACTCTCCCACCTCAGCTGTAGTTATCTGCAGTTCATCCAGAGTGATCGTGGGCCTCTTGGCTACATCTCTGATCAGTCTTCTCCTTGTTTGAGATGAAAGTTTGGAGGGACGGCCGGGTCTTGGTAGATTTGCAGTGGTCTGATACTCCTTCCATTTCAATATAATTGCTTGCACAGTGCTCCTTGAGATGTTTAAAGCTTGGGAAATCTTTTTTGTATCCAAATCCGGCTTTAAACTTCTCCACAACAGTATCTCGGACCTGCCTGGTGTGTTCCTTTGTCTTCATGGTTCTCTCTGCGCTTTAAACAGAACCCTGAGACTATCAAAGAGCAGGTGCATTTATACGGAGACTTGATTACACACAGGTGCATTCTATTTATCATCATCAGTCATTTAGGACAACATTGGATCATTCAAAGATCCTCACTGAACTTCTGGAGTGAGTTTGCTGCACTGAAAGTAAAGGGGCCGAATAATATTGCACGCCCCACTTTTCAGTTTTTTATTTGTTAAAAAAGTTTAAATTATCCAATAAAATTCGTTCCACTTCACGATTGTGTCCCACTTGTTGATTCATGACAAAAAAATCAAAATTTTATATCTTTATGTTTGAAGCTTGAAATGTGGCGAAATGTTGAAAGGTTCAAGGGGGCCGAATATTTTTGCAAGGCACTGTATAAGCAATGCAAGTGCCCCTCCAACTACTTCTGCAAAATCGTAATGGTTATGTTTCTTTAAACAAACAGGATTTTAGAAAAAAACGCTTTTTCTGTGTGCCCTCATAGCTGACCATTAGCTCTGTTGCTTTGTTGTATTTTGCATATTTGTTTTTGTCGCCACAGTTCTGCTCCAATTTTGTTACACGCCATCAGTGTTAAAATATCTTACATAAACTGGATTTGAGGCTGGGTGGATACAGGTGAGGTGTTGTGGCATCAGCACCTAAGGGAAGTGGCTGTAGCCTCAGGAGTATTGTTTCTATGACATGTCAGAGATGAGTGTTTGCCAAAGTTCCAGCGATAAAGCTTCCAAAAATTAAAAAATCTTTTAATCCTATAGAAATAGGAAAAGGTGAATATCTGCAGCAGTGCATGTTCATACTTTCTCAAGCCATTGCCAGTTAAGATTTGAAGGTCACACATGCGAACCAGCATAACTCAATTCCTGATTTTTAGCCACATTAATAAATCAATTGAATCAAGCAGAGGCTCATCTCTCCAGCTGAGCCTGATAAGCAGATCCTAAAAACTTTGAGGTATGTTCTAAAAGTGATATTTGGTCATTCTACAAAAAGGGACCTACCTTCTCTTTTCTTTGCCGACATGTCTCCTCCGAAGACAACAGAGTTTTGTAGTAGGCACTGCGCTCTGCTGTGAAGTGGACCTTGGAAAGTGCATTTTCAACCAGTGCCACAGAGAGATTAATGCCTTCAATGTGCAGCCAGCCGATGAAGTTACCAGCTTTGTCCATGCTCTCTACTTCAACCTCCACCTGCAAAATGAAAATATGTTGTTGTTAATTAATGCAGCAATGTTAAAATAACATGTTTGAATGACTATCTTTTACGGTAAAGCAAATCTATTGTAAAATGCAGAGCTAAGTCTCTTGAGTTACCCACAAACATGTGAAAGGATTTTCACATTAGTGGCTACAATGGACAGTAACTAAATTGTGCCAATGCAGGCAAATTATGTATTCATTATGTTTTGTTTAATAAGAGATAGATGGGAAGAAATAGGGGGAAGGGTCAATTGATTTCTTTTTCTAAAGCCTCAGTCAGCGAGAAAGTGAGGGGGCAGGTGTACTGAAGAGATAGGGGGAAGTCAAGCGATAAAAACTTAGGCTGCTTAGCGCACAGTCGCCAGGGAAATCTAAGAAGATTTAAGTTTGTAAACTGCACAATCATATACACGGCTCAAGCAAAAAGAAACACATAATAACTTAAAACTCACTTATCAAAAACATTAATAATAAAAACCTTTTCACATAATTATAATGATTAATGATTGAATAATTCAATAATTATTAGAGTGGAGGAGTTCAAGTATCTTGAGGTCTTGTTCACAAGTGAGGGAAGGATGGTGCGTGAGATTGACAGGCGGATCGCACTGCGCACGCTGCATCGGACCGTTGTGGTGAAGAGAAAGCTGAGCCGAAAGGCAAAGCTCTCAATTTACCGGTCAATCTTTGTTCCCTCCCTCAACTATGGTTATGAGCTTTTGGTAAATTACCGAAAGAACGAGGTCGCGGATACAATCGGTCAAAATGCAGAGTGGCTGGGCGCTCCCTTAGAGATAGGGTGAGGAGCTCAGTCACATGGGAGGAGCTCGGAGTAGAGCCGCTGCTTCTCCACGTCGAGAGGAACCAGTTGAGGTGGCTCGGGCATCTGTTCCGGATGCCTCCTGGACGCCTCCCTGCGGGAGGTATTCCGGGCACGTCCCACCGGGAGGAGGCCCCGGGAAGACCCAGGACTCGCTGGAGGGCCTGGGAACATCTTGGGGTCCCCCCGATGAGCTGGAGGACGTGTGTGTGCATAGGCAAGTCTGGAGGTCTCTGCTTAGACTGCTGCCCCCTCGATGGATGGATGAATAATTTTATCAGTCTTGGGGGCCTATAATCCAATTTTGTTTTTGTAAAAATTCATTTCAGGGATTACATTTTGATAGCTGACTAGTCAAAGACATGGCATGCGGATTTCCATAATTCTGATATCATTGTAACAATAATACATACGTAACGCAGACAACTGTTGTAGTAGAGAGTGATCACAGTAAAGTGTCAATTATGCCACTTTTCCAAAGTATTGGTACAGTACGGCGCACTTATTCTGCATTTCCACTAGGTTGGGCTTGGGATCAGGGTACTTTTTTCGTACCACCTATATCCAAGCAGGTCGAAGTTACACCATAACGTGACGTCAGCCGACTGCCTTACAAGGAATTTACACAGCGTACGCGTTGACTGCGCGCATATGCGCGTAACATTATTGTACACTGGCCGTGCGCGCAGGTCAGCGTCTTCTGATGCTCTCCCTGTGTAGTCTATGGAGAAGTGTAGAGGACAGTACGGGCCAGAGGACTGATGGAGAGCAACACAAAACACATGCATGTGTTTGTCTCTGTGCGCTGGTTTGGCTGGACGCAAGACTTCATGAAAAAAAAAAAATACTATGTCCAGAATCACTGTAAAACCTGCTGCTCCTCCTGCTAATGTTTAGATACAAGTGCTGTGTGTGTGTAGATGCGATCTAAAGCCAAGGGCCGCTAGAAAAGTCATGTTTCACATGAGTTTTCAATGTGAGACCCGTTGCTGCACGCACAAAATTAGAACTCCATCCTAAATTAGGCACAGCCTTGTGTTATACGTCCGTCATACATGCGTATAAAACCAGTAGTGTAAAAATCACCATTGCTTTACATGTAAAAATGTTACGTGCGTCTGCTGCGCGTATAACGCGTACGTGCTGTAACGCCTCCTGTGTAAATTAGCAGTTACACTGATTGAAACAGCCACAACAGGAGCTAAACCAGGACTAACAATGGGGGACACAGTTCTTGTGAACATATGCCTCCAGTCTGAGTTCTCATTCTCCAGTGACTGTAAACAAGGGCTGCTAACGTGTTCACCAATGCGGAAGTACGGTTTAATAATACAATAAACTCATAGTGTACCTTCAAGAACACAAACTGTTGTTATATAAAGTCTCTGGAAGGTCTCTGGACACAGAGACGCTGCAGAGCTGTAGTCTTGAAGAAGAACTTTACAACAAAAAGTTGCAAGCTTAACTCCAAGGGTCCGAGGCAGCGACCGCATCACTGCGCACAAGATTTGACAATCGGTGCTAGATCATAATGTAGATTTTGAACTTAATTTTTCAAAACATAATTCAAAACAATAATAACTATCCAAAAGTAAATAACTTTCTAAAACAGGGGTGTTCACACTTTTTCAGCATGCGAGCTACTTATAAAATGATCAAGTCAAAATGATCTACCTACAATAAAAATGCAAAACATATATTTATTATAAAATAGGATTGAGGATTCTTTAAGCCTAGCGTACATCGACAGAGAAACTGGGGACAACTAGTTGCAAGGCGGCTTTTGGCAACTGAGAGGAGATGGTGGGAGATGATCAGTTGCCGAAATCGGTCGATGTGCGCGCTCTTACAACTGGAGATGATCAGTCGGTCTCCAGTTCCAGTCAGTTGCCCGTGTTCTACTTTTCGGCAACTAGTTGTCCTCAGTTGCCCCGATGTGCGCGCTCCATGCGCCGCTCCGACAACGTGTGTGTATTGCGTGTATTGCGAGCCTGCAACAGTTTATGTCAGAAAACACACTGTGGTTGAGGCCAGTTGCTGTCGATGTACACGCTGTTATTCAAGAGACTGGCCTGCGACTCAGAGTTGCCCGTTTTCGCCAGATTGTCGATGTGTGCGGGGCAGCAACTCAGAGGCGACGGATATAATCAGTTGCCAGTCCGATGTACGCTAGGCTTTATATCTACAATGTATGTTGATGTACATGCAAAACCGCATGATTTATGAAATAATTTGCATCTACACATAGCCGAACATCTGCAGAACACAGAAGTGAGCGGAGCTTTGATGCAGACGCCGGTACTTCTGTAGTGGCACTTAGTCATAGTAACAGCTCAGGGTGAAGACATATTATTATAGATCCATGGTGAAGACATGTTTACAAGCACTGACCCCCGTCCTCAGTCCTGGTTTAGCTCCTGTTTTGGTTGTTTTGGAGCTCGAGTCCCCGTGATCACTTTGCTGCTCTCCGATGTGGAGCAAACCGCTCGCAGCAGCGAACAGTTTTTAAGGCAGTAAGGTCCATGCTTCAGTGATCAGAGGTTGCACGTTTTGTTTGCTGTTTTAGGGGCATACTGTGGCGTGCGAAAACGCAAAACTCTGGTTATCTCTGTCTACACGCAAATGCATAAACGGATATTTTTTTTAATGTAATGTAATCTACCAATACTACCTTTGCGATCGACGTATTGAGCACCCCTGTTCTAAAGCAAGCCTATAGCATAGAAACCACACTTGTCGTAAATCCCATAACCGCTGTAATCCACTTTGACTGCTACTTATCTTTTACCATGTACACACTTTAAATGACTCATATAAATACATGGGACTTGAGCAATTGTCCATTGGCATTGGCCAAATGACGTGAAACAGATCAACAAGCCAGGGAGATAGGAGGCAGCAAGTTCAAAGTTGAACTTTGAGGTGACAAGTACCCATGCTTGAGAGGGTTAACAAGTGACTCCAACATGGTATGCAGTTTTAAGTGGAACACAATTCTATCCAACCTGCAGTCTACAAACAGTATGTGCTGGTCTGTGTGCGCAGACACTTCAAGATTGATCAATGTGACTTTGGGGGTCCCATGCATCACTGTCAGTAGCAGACTGCTGTCTGCTGGTGGCAGGCTGAAAAAAGTCAAACAGCTTCCACCATGAGCAGCACAACTAATGGTCAGGAAAACCAGGATTAAATCACCTGATGAGTTTTGTTGCATCAATTATTCAAAACACAAAAGTATCCAAAAGTCTGCATAGTCCAAACCATAATAAAAATGTATAAGGAATGAGAACTTGTATGGTGCTGCACAAGAGGCACATGAAAATGTGCTAGAATTTTTTCTTAAAGCTGGACTACCTCAGTTTATTTTTTTATTCATTTGGGAAATTCAATCTATGGAAGCCCGTTTCCGCCATGTAAAAAAAAAAAAAGCATACAGAAAGTCAAAATTTTGAGTTTAAAACTCACAATTACGACTTTTAAAAGTCAAAATTTCAACTTTAAAAGTCAAAATTTCAAAACTACGAGTTTTCAACTGCGCATGTGCAGTTGAAAACTACGTATTTGTTGTTGTCTGGAACGGTCTCTGGACGTCCTTCACCTGCAGATTATGTGAAGATATTGCTGACAGCGACCACTGCATCCTTGAAGTAGCCAGAAATAATGTTGTTTGATTGATTCTGTAAAACTTTCCTGTTTAAGCCCCAGACCGCGGTCGTAGGACGCAGGGGGGAGCTGTCTTTTTATTTATTTATGTTAAATTCAATTTACATATATACAACATTTAAATCAAACGACTTCTTATTTCGACATAGTAACAAATAATGTGAGCAATACGTTTTTATAATAAATCAAAGGAAAATGAGCCATCGAGACATTCCAATCCAATCTGCTGTAGACCACTCTGACCAGACGATGGCGCTGAGAGGGGTCCACACGGAGCGAGTCTTTCCACGGCTGAAAGGATGCGCTTTCTACGTGTTGAGTACGGGGTTTTATTCATGCATCTATAATGGGTTTATCTATTTCTAACCCTTTTCAAAGACCCTCACTGTTATCTGCAGAGTTATTTCTCCGGTTTGTTGCTTAAAGAGTCGTGGGCTTTATTTTGTCACAATAAAATAATCAGACAAGGTTCTTATTCCCTGTATGTCTCTGTGTTCTTGCTCATACG